AGAAAGATAAAATCTTCTGTTAGTTTAGAATATGAATATTTCCAGTAATTGACATTGTCATTGTCTGGGCCAAGTGGGTAAAACAGCATTTCTTTCCTGATCTTGTAGGAAATTGGTTTATGTAACGAGGGGGGACACTGGTAGAGCTATATTGGTAAAGGTTGTGTCTGCTATGCTGAATTAAATATTCCTTGCAAGGGTACCAGGAAAAGGGGAGGGACTTTATAGTTGCTAACCCTGAAAAAAGATTGGTTGCATCAGATGAACCTTTAAACTTAGGAAACGTTTTCCAACTCAATATTTATTTGATCTAAATAGTCAGTATGTAATGGTGTAATACCCCTGGTACTCTTCCAAAGTCGTCAATAATGAGGGCGTACCTTGTGGTTGTTCATTTTTCAGTCCCTATGAATTTATTTGATTGCCTTTGATTGCCACATTTGTTTTCCGTTTTTTGGCCAGAGTCTCGCTCTGTCTCCAGACTGGAGTGCAGTGTCGTGATCTTGGCTCTCTGCAACCTCCACCTCCCAGGTTCAAGCGATTCTCCTGCCTCAGCTTCCTGAGTAGCTGGGATTACGGGCGCATGCCACCACAGCTAGCTATTTCTTGTATTTTTAGTGGACGCGTGGTTTCACCATGTTGGCCAGGATGGTTTTGATCTCCTGACCTCGTCATCCGCCTGCCTTGACCTCCATAGTGCTAGGATTACAGGCTTGAGCCACTGTGCCAGGCCTGATTGCCACTTTTTTGAAGGATGGGGATGTTGAGTGGGGTGGCAGGTTTTTGGCAATGTGTGCATTGCTGAAATCTCTCTACCCATATCTGACTGTTGGTTTATACGATACAGAGAACCATGGGCTAAGTCTTATTTTTTCAGCTACAAAATAAAAATCCTATCATTAAATCTTAGAATCTGAGTTGGCAGATAATCCTGTGTAATACCCTTCTAACTAAAACTGGTTCCACAAAATTCCTAAATCAACTGTCCTGTTTTAGGTAATGACAGACATCTGCTACCTTTAGAGGTCGCAGCTTCCTGTGGGTAGGAACACTTTTTGTTAGGGAGATATGCATTTTATTGGGTCAATAAAATGACCCTTTTTATGTGATATCTTACTCTTTTTATGTGATATCCTTTATTTGTCGTTTTGTTTTCTGAAGTGAATACATAGGATCATTGCCTTCCTACATCTTGCCATTCACGTATTTAAAGAAAGTGTTCATCTCTTTTCTTTTTCCCTAAGAATGAAAGAAACTAAATGTAGCAGTAATACCTATTTATGATTCTAAAACTTTTTGCTATTTGTCAGATACTTTGCTTGTTCACTTATTCCTTGTGATAGTTCTGAGATATGTTTTATTAAATTAAATTAATTAATTTTTTTTTTTGAGATGGAGTCTCGCTCTGTTGCCCAGGCTGGAGTGCAGTGGTGTGATCTCAGCTCACTGCAACCTCTGTCTTCTGGTCTCAAGTGATTCTCCTGCCTCAGCCTCCCAAGTAGCTGGGATTACAGGTGCACCACCACACCCGGCGTAATTTTTGTACTTTTGGTAGAGACGGGGTTTTGCCATGTTGGCCAGGCTGGTCTCGAACTCCTAACCTGAGGTGATACACCAACCTTGGCCACCCAAAGAGCTGGGATGACAGACGTGAGCCACCACACCTGGCCTGTGTGTTGTCTGTGTTGAAGATGAGAAGACCGAGATGCCAGTGACTTGTCCAAAGACACATGGGTGGTAACTCCTAGAGATTATTAGCTAGCTCAGAGCTTGTTCCCGTTTTGGGCCACAGCTGTACCCTCACTTATTATACCTGAACACCTGCAGTTTCTTTCATTGCTCTTTAAGTGATGACATGGTCTCCTAGGACCCCTCATCCCATCCAGATTATTCTTCACTGAACATACCTGGTCAGCACTTAAGAAAAAGATGGATGCCAAGCATCCATTGATTCAGGAAATATTTGAGTATCTGCCACGTGCCAAGCACTCCAGATATTTGGGTTATACCAATGAGTAGAACAGTCAAGCAAATCCCTGCCTTCGTGCATTATACACTGAGGGTTTATGTTGTGGCTTAGTCCCTGTCCCCACAATCAACACTGAAGAGGACTTTGAAACAAGGGACAGAAAAGTTGCAGGAGCGGGTTTGTGCTATTAAGGCGTTAAGGTGGGAATTCTATACGAAAAGTTCAAATGATGTATTAAATATGGATCCAGTATCTCTGCTCACTCCCCCTTTGCATCACTTTAAACACACATTCCTTGCGTGGATTCACAAAATAATGTTGACTTTAACTGATTTATACTCATTTATTTCTAGGCACAAAATGAGGCTAAACAAAAACTTGGCAATAGAAGGAAGAGGTTCCTGATGTTATCAGAGGTCGTTTGAAATAAAATCCAGGCAAAATGAAAACACAAAAGATGTGATTTGTAGGGCCAGAAGACTTTGCTTGCTCTGAAATATGTTTTGAATTCAAGAATATGAAGAGAATCAAGAATATTAGAGATTGAGAAGCCGAGAGATGGGTTATAAGTGAACTAGATAAACTGTAGAATGCACACAAGTGTATTAGAAAATGTTATATGGTTCAGTGAAGGCTGTGAAAATCTTCAGCTGCTTCTTGTAGGTAACCTTCTTGTATTAAATTATGGGAGGTTTTTGTAGCTTAGAGGTATAAGTTTTAATGTATGTTGGAATTTTTAATACAGACTTAAGTCCTGATGCGTATCTAGTATCTTTCTTTGTCGTTAAACATTGATTTTCTTCTATTGCTTACATTTAATAACTATTACATTTTCAGTTTTAAGGCAGTAATAGTTCATGAATTTGAAAAGTTAAAATCTATTGGAGATGAAGTTTTAAAATTCTGACATCTTTCAAATATATTTTTGGTAACATCTTGATGACCTTCAAATTTTCTTCCATCAACTGAGTGTTAGAGGGCTGCCAAGAGCCTGGGAGCCGCTAGCATTCTGCTTCTCACTGCTTCTGGGTTATGCAGCATAGAAGAGAGGGCATGGAGTTTGGAGCCACACAGACCTGAGGTTCAAATCCAGCTCTGTGATTTTGAGAAGTTCCTTAACATCTCTGAGCCTTAGTTTCATCATCCAAAGATAGGATATTTCTCCCGAGGTGGTTGGGAGGGTTAGATAAAGCGTATCAAGAGCCCAAGACATAATAGGAGAGCAATGATAGTCTCTATTATTAATTTTTATTTGTGTATATCAAAGTCTGGGGTACAATGGCCTTGCTTAAAAATGGAATCCCCTTTCCTTTGAATTACTTTTCCTCCCCATGTGATAGTCTCAAATATTTATTCATTTTTCTTTTCTTTCTTTCTTTCTTTCTTTCTTTCTTTCTTTCTTTCTTTTTTTTCCCCCCCAACATCCAAAAGTAAAGGAAACAATATTCTGCAACTCCATCGATTCTGAGTTTCTCTTCGGTGTGCTATATTCAGCTAGATGATGTCATCATCAGCTAACATTGGCTTTTCACCAAGCTGTGGTGACAAGTTTCTTTCCTTAAGGCACATTCTGGAATAGTGTTTCATCTCAGTTTAGAATGTGTACTTCATAACTGGACTATTTATTGGTAGGAACTGCCTGTGCTTCACTTTCTGGGCTGTGCCAGTTAACACTTTGCTCATCAGAGCGCTCTGCTTCCTCAGCCTAGTGTTCATCGTGGGAAACTTTGAGCTCTGGAAAAATGTAAACTTTATGCTTGTCTCTTTGGATGGTGCAGACTGATCAGAAGCAAAACAACACCATTAGCAAAAAACAAAGAAGTTTTGTTTTTAATTGTAAAACTTCGTTACATTGCTTCTGAAATGCTAATGCATATTATATTCATTTATGGAGAGTCAGACATTCATTTTGTCTGACATTGTCCTGACATTGGTCTGTACTAGCATCTTAGTCAGCTTGAGCTGTCGTAATAAAATACCATAGACTGGGGGCTTAAACAACAGACATTTATTTTTCATTGTTCTGGAGGCTAGGAGTTGAGATTATGGTGCCAGCATAGTTGAGCTCTGGGGAGGGCTCCTTTCCTGGCCTGCAGATGGCAGCCTTCTCCCTGTGTCCTCACTTGGTGAAGAGAAAACATCAGCTCCAGGCTCTTCCTCTTTTTATAAGGACACTAATTCCATCATGGGTGCCCCACCCACATGATCTCATCTAGCCCTAATTACCTTCTAAAGGCCCTACCTCTAAATACTATCACATTGCAGGTCAGAACTTAATAGGAATTTTAGGGGAACACAAACATTTAGTCTGTAACAACCAGCTAGTGCTTATCCTCTTTAGGCATTGGTTTTCTGACCTATAAACTAGAGATAATAAAAGTACTTACCTCATAGGGTTGATAGGTAATTCAGTTAGGTTAATATATGTAATACACTTAGCCTAGTTCCCAAAACCTAGTACATGCTTGATAAATGCTAGCGCTCAGTAGTAACACCAGAAGTAACTCATAACAATGGTAGTGTATTTTAGGAGCATGTCTCATTCCAGGAACTTACCAGAACTCTTCTGAAATTATAAATTGTTGATTGAATTCTTTTTAAGCGATAGTAATATCTATCTTCGTCCATATTTCTGTCACCATTTTCTCTTCCTAGGCTAAATGTGAGCTTCCTGTATCTGAATCCTGTTCCCTTCAGCTCTGTCCCTCCAGGTCAGCCTTCCCTGAGGCTGTGGAGTTTTGGGTTCTTCTCACTGTGACCTTGCCATATACTTAGGTGCTTGTTTCTCATTGCCTGTGGCTCCCTAGTCTTTGCTTCAAACCCTTCACACTTTTTCTCTAACTTTTCTCCATGCCATATCATCATCTCCTTCGTTTACTTCGGGGTCACTTACATAAAGAGGATGAAAGTTTCTTTGGGGCTTCTGAATAAAGGTGGCCAGGTTCCTAAATCTTAACATTCATCTTGCCAAGCAGACTTTTCTGATTACCTAAAATATTCTTTATGATCTCTCCTCCATAAAACCTTCTAGAATGATCCACGAAGAGCACCCTGCTGCTGCTGCTTTAAACCCTGAGAATGGATTCAATTTTGTTGTCTACCAGTAGACCATCTGATTGATTGAAACATCTTATTCCCCAACAGTGAGTTGAGAAAAGAAGAGTTTTCTATGAGAAAGAATTAGTGGTGATCAGAGTGAAACATACATGTTAAAGCTATATTAGTTTTGAATGCTCTTTCGTACTGATTGTAGAATTTGGGGCATTTTGAGATTTCGATAAGTGATCAAAGCGTTTTAAATCTTAAAACATAGGCTATGTGTAACCAATTACAAATATATTTCAGGGAAGAATTATTAAAGGGAGAAACTTTTTTATTGTGGCATATGTTCCAACAAAATATATTTTAAGACAGTTATCTGAAGCATAGGGGTTCATGAGAATATTTGTGTTTGTGGGTGTATATATATATATATATGTAATGCGCACACACATCCTTTTATAAAAAATATCATGGCTGGGTGCAGTGGCTTATGCCTGTAATCTCAGCACTTTGGGAGGCCGAGGTGGGCGGATCACCTGAGGTTGGGAATTTGATACCAGTCTGGCCAACATGGTGAAACCCCATGTATACTAAAAATACAAAAATTAGCCGAGTGTGGTAGCAGACGTCTGTAATCCCAGCCACTCAGGAAGCTGAGGCACGAGAATTGCCTGCATCTGGGAGGTGAAGGTTACAGTGAGCCAAGATGGCACCACTGCACTCCAGCCTGGGCAACAGAGTGAGACTCTGTCCTTAAAAAAAAAAAAAAAAAGGGGGACTTTTCCAAACAGAAATTTACTTTCATTACAAAACAGTTTCATGGAGGAAATGGGAGATGAGAAGGACCTTGAGAGAATAAAAGGGTATGTGTAAGTAGAGATGAGCTTAAGCAGAGGATATTTTTAAATAGAGCGACTTTTTTATTTTATACTCCAGTATTGATTTGTGACTACACAAATCAATACTGAAGAAAAAAGATATTTAAGTATCTTAAAAGCAAATCAGTTCTGTTAATTGCTTTAAAGTTATTTAGACTTTTTTACCTACAGCTAAGATATATGTTACTGAAATGACCTTTTATAAATCTTTTTCAGGCTTAGCATTTCTTAGTTGTGATTTCATTTAAAAAGAAAACACATAGTGTCATAATGATAGTTACTCTTGCTGATTTGTTGATATTATTGATTAGGCTAATTTATATAAGGTAACTACATTTTCTTCTGCTATTTTTTTGGTAGTCCTTGAGCCATTTTAGGATACTTGCTTTCTAAAAAGAATATATTTAAAATATGAAATTGTGTATTTTGATAGAGGGAGGTCAAATAAATGTTTATATTTCAAAAAAATGAAGGGAAATACTTGTAGAGCTTAGGCAATGCTTGATATACCTTGTGTTTTCCCCACAGACAAAAAAGCATGTAAATGGCCTATGTTGGTTCTTTGGAACTGATGGCAAGAGAACAGAGTGTAGGATTGTTAAGAATTTACGTCAGATTAATTTGGAAGGAGTTCCTTGATACTTAATTCTAGGCACACTGTCTCTGTCTCATTAATTTTTATACACGTCTTCGTTAAGGAATTACACTGAGGGAGTTCTGCTGTTTCATCCTCACTCATCCCTGCCTGCCATCCATCAAGTGCTTCTGGAATTCCATGCCTGGATCAGACCACCCTGTCAAGACAACCGTGGCAGGAGCCAGGTTGGGGCCAGTAGCCCCGGAGAGGGACTCCTCACAGGGAGACGTGGCGCTGGGCTGTGGCCTCTTTTCAGCTTTCCGGCAACAAGCCTCTCATTAGCATGGGGTGCTGAGGTATGCTTGGCTAAGGAGGAAATCTCAAGAGCCGAAGCCTTGAAGAAAATCCAGCTCTTGTGTCTGTGCCCAGAATGATGCATTGCTAGCATACAGCCAGCTGCAAAAGGAAGAAATCAGACCCAAATGTGGAAGCAAGTTTCTTAATGCCCTTGTTTCTCTGTTTAAAGTTTTCTGTCAAGCCGCTTCCACAGGGAGCTGATACCCAGTGGCTAATGCTTAAAAAAATTGTATTTGGAAAGTTCTTTTAACAGACGCTACAGAATCTTACTGAGACTATGTCCTTAATGACTGTAGTGGCTGTCTGGCAACACAACCTCCTAGGTAAGAGGGGGAAAATGACCCAGGCTATATGCATGCATTCGTTTGTTTTCACACTGCTGATAAAGACATACCTGAGATTGGATAGTTTATTTAAAAAAAAGATGTTTAATGGACTCACAGTTCCATGTAGCTAGGGTGGCCTCACAATCATGACAGATGGCAAAAGGCACGTCTTACAGGGTGGCAGATGAGAGAATGAGAATCAAGCAAAAGGGATATCCCCTTATAAAACCATCAGATCTCGTGAGACTTATTCCCTACCACGAGAACAGTGTGGGGGAAACTGCCCCCATGATTCAATTATCTCCCACTAGGTCCCTCCCACAACACATAGGAATTATGGGAGCTTCAATTCAAGATGAGATTTGGTTGGAAACACAGCCAAACCATATCAGCTTGGCCTTACTGGTCACAAGAAGCAGGGCTGAACCTGCATCCTGGGGTTGAGTAGATTGTGCACTTGTTTGTACCACCCTGATAAGTAGCCGAGGGCAGAGACTGGGGAGGATTCTTACTACATTTTATTACATTTTCTCAGAGAATATAATAGGGGATGCTGCTTGTCTTTAACATCTGCTTCTCAGATTTAGCTGGGCATCTACAAGAGCACCTGAAATAAAGACTAGGTCCTGTGTCTCCCCTGAAGCATACTAGGGTCAAATTCTAGCCAATAGCAAGTGAGGGAAAGCATCCTTTGTGACTTCTAGGAAGTATAGTTTTAAAAAGGGCGTTGGCTGGGTACAGTGGCTCATCCCTGTAATCTCAAAACTTTGGGAAGCTGAGAAATGAGGCTCACTTGAGCCCAGGAGTTTGGGACCAGCCTGGGCAACACAGTGAGACCCTATCTCTACAAAAAAATAAAAATATTAGCTGGGCAAGGTGGGTGCCCCTGTATCCCAGCTACTTGGGAGGCTGAAGTGGGAGGATTGCTTGAGCCCAAGAAGTCAAGGCTGCAGTGACCCAGGATCACACCACTGCACTCCAACCAGGGTGACAGAGGGAGACCTTGTATCAAAAAATAAAAATAAAAACCTAGATGACAGGTTGAGAGGTGCAGAAAACCACTGTGGCACACGTATACCTGTGTAACAAACCTGCATATTCCGCACATGTATCCCGGAACGTAAATAAAAGAAGAGGGAGAAAAAAAGAAAGAAAATGACCATACAGCCAAAAGTAATCTACAAATGCAGTGCAACTCCCATGAAAATACCACCATCATTGTTCACAGAACTAGAAAAAAGCAATCCTAATAGAACCAAAAAAGAGCTCACATAGCCAAAGCAAGACTAAGCAAAAAGAACAAATCTGGAGGCATCATATTACCTGATTTCAAACTATACTGTAAGGCCATGGTCAGCAAAACAGCATGGTGCTGGTATAAGAATAGCACACAGACCAGTGGAACAGAATAGAGAACCTAGAAATAAACCCAAATACTTACAGCCAACTGATCTTCAACAAAGTAAACATGGCATAAAGTGGGGGAAAGAACATCCTTTTCAACAAATGTTGCTGGGATAATTGGCTAGCTACATGTAGAAGAGTGAAACTGGATCCTCATCTCTCACATTATACAAAAATCAGCTCAAGATGGATCAAAGACTTAAATCTAAGACCTGAAATCATAAAAATTCTAAAAGATAACATTGGAAAAACCCTTCTAGACATTGGCTTAGGCAAAGACTTCGTGACCAACAACTCAAAAGCAAATGCAACAAAAAGATAACTAGATGGACTTGATTAAACTAAAAAGCTTCTCCACAGCGAAAGAAATAATCAGCAGAATTAACAGACAACCCATAGAGTGGGAGAAAATTTTCACAGTCTATACATCTGACGAAGGACTAATATCCAGAATCTACAAAGAACTCAAAGAAATCAGCAAGAAAAAAACAAATGATCTAATCAAAAAGTAGGCTAAGGACATGAATAGACAATTCTCAAGAAGATAAAATTCTCAGAAGATAAAATAATGGCCAACAAGCATATGGAAAAATGTTCAACATCACTAATTATCAGGGAAATGCAAATCAAAACCGTCATGCAATACCACTTCACTCCTGCAAGAATGGCCATAATCAAGAAATCAGAAAAGAACAGATGTTAGCATGGATGCAGTGAAAGGGGAATACTTTTATACTGTTGGTAGGAATGTAAACTAGTACAACCACTATGGAAAACAGTGTGGAGATTCCTTAAAGAATTTAAAGTAGATCTACCATTTGATCCAGTAATCCCACTACTAGGTATCTACCAAAGGAAAAAGAAGTCATTATATGAAAAAGATACTTGCACATGCATATTTATAGTAGCACAATTTGCAGTTGCAAAAATATGGAATCAGCCCCAAAATCCCATTAATCAACAAATGGAGAAAGAAAATGTGAGATATACACACACACACACACACACACACACACACACACACATATACATGCACACCATGGAATACTACTCAGCCATAAACAGGAATGAAATAATGGTATTTGCAGCAACCTGGATGGAATTGGATACTATCATTCTAAGTGAAGTAATTCAGGAATGGAAACCCAGACATTGTATGTTCTTAGTCACATGTGGGAGCTAAGCTATGAGGACACAAAGGCATAAGAATGATACATTGGATTTTGGGGAATCAGGGGAAATGGTGGGGGGTGGTGAGGGATAAAAAACTTCACACTGGGTACAGGGTACACTACTTGGGTGTTGCGTGCACCAACTTCTCAGAAATCACCGCTGAAGAACTTATGTATTTATGTACATAGTTGTGACTTCTGCTTCTAATCCTGATTTTTTTTTTTTTAACTTGTTTGTAGCAGGGATTAAAATACAGAGCCACAGTATGCAATCAGGAACAAGTTCTTAGCATACTTGATGAATTTCCCTGTGCTCACTTGCTGCTTATAGTGATAGCACTTTAACTTTTGGAAGTGGAGAAATTACCAAAAATTATTGACTGGGGC